GTTTTTATTTTTTATTTTTTCTGATTTTGAAAAAGGTCAGAAGGTGAGAAGGAGTAGGTAGTGGAGAGGGAAGAAGGTAGAAAGTGAAGAGGAGGAGGTGGAGGAGGAAGAGAAAAGGGGGGGGAGGGTGGTCTTATATAGAAAGAAGGAGGGGAGAGGGATCAGATGTACAGTGTGGCGGAACTGAGCATGCGTACGTACGATCAGATTAGATCCGCGCGGATTAGATGTCCCCAGATAGCCCAATCTGATAAACCACTCAGTACATATAGACTACCTATGTTCTGTTTTTTTTTTTTTGACGGCAGAGAATTGGTAGGATATCTCATGTAGACCGTGTGAGGGCTCAGCGAGGCGACACCCTCAGCGAGGCTTGGCGGTATTTGGCAGCAAAGATTGCCTACGGTCAACGACAGTAGGGAGCCAAGCCGTGCCGCGCCTCGCCGAGGGTGTCGCCTCGCTGAGCCCTCACACGGTCTATAGTCCGGTAGACTGCAAGAATCAATTAATTGGGCCGTGTGACATGTCGTCCCAGTTGCCTCCTCCGGTAAAGTCTGGTATTATTATTTTTACTTGTCCATTTGGACACATGTGGCGACCTTTGCGATCCACGAGCCAACCAGAGACCAAAGATTTTCGGAAATCCCGTTACCTGATTGGTCCAACCCATGAATTCCTGTTTCTGGTGTTCAACTCTTAGCCTTTTTCTTTTTTTTTTTTGAAATCGCTACCCGTAGCGTGCGCTTTTAAATTTTAATTTTTTTTTAGATATTTCGTAGTAGCATAGCTAGGGTTCGGCTCCGCGAAATCGTAACCTTATCATACCAAAACTCTGACAAGCACAGAATGGAAATTTTACTACTGCACCTTAAAAAAGAAGGAAAACGGGAACACAAAAAAAAACCTCTTGGAGCTCACCCAACGAGTGCGCTTATCACTACCCCCTCCGAGCGCGCCATGCGGCAATCCAACCGTCAAACTTCCCTGCACCAGGACGTCATATGCACCACCGCCGACCAGCCAACCAACCAACCGAACTCCTCTATGAAGCTGTGGCTTCCTATCACAGCCGGTCACTCATCGCTTTCCATCTTTGTCTCGCCGGTCATGCGGAGATCAGCGAAGAGTGATGTAACCCCCCCAGAACCTCCACATCGATAATGAGCAGCAAATGGCCGGGAAAAGATGAAAAGATCTGACCCCATTATCCAGGTTTTTGGAAAGTCCTTGTCTATCCGAGTGGAAGAAACTTGAGCGCCACAGCCAGGTTAGTGCTGGGAAGGGAGTGTGTAACCGCTCCGGTTTCCATTACCGGTATTCCCATCGGTTTTATGGCTGCCGACTGGACCGTTTCGATTTTGTACGCAAGCCCCACCTCTGTGGCGAGGTGGGGGGGTTTGATCATGGGCAATTCCTTCTGGCATCATAGCTTCTTGTGCTCGAGTGGGCGTGTGCAATGAAGGAATGACGGACCTTTCTCGCACCCCATTCCAAGATTATTTTTCTCTTCCTTTCTTTTACAAACGGCGGTAATGGACAGGAGGGGATGAATTGGAGTAAAACAGGATATGGGGGAAGGTTCGTATTCCCGGGAATGGAGCATCACAACGTAAGTAACGGAAAATAGTAGCCGATAGTTAAAAGTAAATCCCGTATCATGGGAATATATATCAACCATGTCACCCCGTTTCTCCCAATCTCTCTTTCTCCCTTCTCCATACCCTTATTATACAACCCCTCCAGTTTCTTCACACTTTCTCCCTCCTCATTTCTTAACAATAGTATTAATAGTAATATTAATAAATTACAACCCCCCACCCCCCACCCCCATACTTTTACGCACACCCACGACAGGGAGAAAGAAATGACGACCCAAGCACAAAACCGCGTCAGCGACCTCTCCGAGACGGAGTCCGAATACGACGATCCGGCCCCGCGAGCCCAATCCCGCCGGAGGGGTCGAGGCCGCTCGGGCAGGAACAAGCAGCAAGCGGTCGGCCAGCAACAACAACAAGCCGGTCCTCTCCAGGGCGTGGCCCCCGGCCAGCAGCTCTCCCAGACAACCGGACAGATCGGAGAGGTGGCCGGCGGCCTGACCGGCACGGTCGGGAATACCCTCGGCCAGACGGCAGGTCAGGTGGCCGGTGGGGGAGGGGGAAAGAAGAACGATACACTGCGGCTGAGGCTGGATCTAAATATCGACATTCACGTCGAGCTCCGAGCGAAGATTCATGGCGATCTTGAGCTTTCGCTGCTGTGAGTTTTTCCCCCCGGCATAGTATTTGCTCCCGGTTTTCATTTTTATTCTTGCTTGCTTCCCTTCCCCCTCCCCTCCCCTCCCCTCCCTTCCTCGTCCACCCCCCCTCTGTCAGTCGTCTTCACGCTTTTATGGGAGGCATTCTGAGTTGGGTGTGATAGCTCATGAAGCATATCGTTAGCGGTTGAACAGTGAGAAGGGCTAAGCGTTATTATCTCGTGTTTTCTAGAAATTGAGGATCCTTCCCTTGTTTTTTATCTTTTTTTTTCCCCCCCCTTCCCTTCCTGTCTTTATCTACACTTTGTTTTATACGGTCCAGTTCGGGGATGAGAAATGAATGAATGGAGAAGAAGGAGGGTGAGGGGGGAAGACTTGGTCACTCAAGGTTATGGATTGTAATATTATCTTTGTTTTTTGTTTTTTTCTTTCATCATTATTTCTGTGTGCAAGTAGACTACTCGAGTACCATGGGATAAGAAGATTAGTCGTACTAAACTGTGCAAGGGTGGGTGGGGAAAGGAACCTTTTATTAACGTTTCCATAAAGTTATCGTGAGCGAGAAACATAAATAAATAAATAAAAAATCTCCGTCGGTAATCTCTTCCCAGATGATTAATTAATTTAATTAATTAAATTAAAACCCGGCAGTACGGGTACTTGTACATACAAGCTTATCTCCCGTCATGGGACAATTTTTACACAGCGGAGACTCACAGAGTGTCACTCGCCTCCCACTACTACCAGTATCACACAAATGGTGGCAAGAGCAGAATTTTTTTTTTTCGACGTGACACAAGATGGGCCCCACAGCAATACCGTATCATGACGCCGCACTCGACAGGGGGGGGGGGGAGGGATTCAAGCCAGTGACGTCTCTTACTAGGAAGATAAATCTTGGCCCGAAGAAAACCCCTCAGCTATTCCCAGTCCCCATTTTCATCTACTGGGCCCTCCAATTTACTGAGTAATTTAATTTACCAAACGGATCCGTTTTCCCGTAGAGCACTACTGTACCGTATGCTAGCATCCGCCAGAAGTGGGAAAAATAAATCAAAAGTTCCCCTGGGCGGACAGACGGACAAGCAAGCAAACAAACAAACAAACAAAACCTACAGCGACAGGACAGATACGACGACAAAAATGCCCATCGGCCTCCTGATCCTGACCGCGATCCCGACGACCATCGGCGTAGCCCAAGGGATAACGCAGGACCGACGACAACGCGACGCCGAAGCCGCGGCGAAAGCCGCAGGCCTACCCACCTACTTTTCGCTCTACACCTCGTCGGACGTGAAAGAATTGGATGGTAAAGATATCACGATCCGCGATGGAAGGGTTCCTATTCCCCCCCCCTCCCCCTCTCCCTCCTTTATTACACATATATAAAATTCTAACACCGTCGTGCTGAACGTCGACTTAGCTATACATCGGCGGGGAAAACCACCCCTTCGCCGGATACCTGCGTGACATGCTGGAAACCGAGATCAAGGCCATGGTGACGACGACGTGCAATGACCCGCCGGCTATGGGATGGGTGTACGTGCACGCGGAGACGCACGAGGTGCGCGTGGGGAATAGGGCTGAGGCGTCGGGGCATAGGTTTGGGGTTTGGGGGTATGAGAATGGGCTCGTGATGGATGGGCGGTCGGCTTTCTGGGCTGTTGAGGGGGATGGCGGGGGTGCGGGGGAGTGGGGGCTGTATTATCTTGAGGATGGCGATGAGGTGGCGGGCGAGGGGAAGGCGGTTGAGGTTGGTGTCAGGAAGACGAATATTTCGGATTTGATCCCGCCGAAGGGATGAGGTATCGTAGGTGGGGGAAGTTGTCATTTGTGGTTATTATAACGGTATCATGCTGTACGGGGAAGTTGGGTGGGTGTATGGCGTGATACGGAATTCCTTTTATGATTACAAGTGCAGTACAATACCATTCTCAAGAGATCCACTTTTGTTTTCCTCATCACACTCCGTTCCTTCTCTTTTTTTTTCCCCCTTAGAGGGTTGTCATTGTACTGTACAATAGTACTTGTACTAGTACAGTACCATCCGTACAGCCATAGTACACCCCGTACAGTACAGCCCCAAGAACATGAATCGCTTAAATTCATTGTACGGTACTGTACAATGCACACCCGGCAGGACCCCACCAAAAGAGTCGGAGGAAGATACTCCCTGTCCCAGAACTGCAAGGAAACACGCCGGGTTGAGTTGTGTTTTCGTGCAATTATTGCCTCACATCCCACCAAATAGATTCTGCATAGAAGTTCTGCCGTGGAAAGCCGCTTGCGGGCCCTGGCTTGCCTATTGGCCAGGGATGGTAGTAGGTCTTCTACTGAGTTGGTTCTGGTGCTCCTTGAACTGGCGGTCTCTGGGGCTTCGGGTGAGGGCCGTCCGGTAACTGGGGGGAGAAAAAGTACCGCCTGGCTGGGATTCGTCCTGCTCGCCCTGGCAAGGAGATCCGTGTGCTGTGCTTTCAAACATTTCGGTGTATTTTGGTGGAGAAGGAAGGCTGTGGAGTGACGGGATTGAGAACGGGGATATGGAAGGCTTATATGTGGGAAAATCACCAGAATGCAAATCTATACGTCATTTGTATTAATAAGAGTAAATACGCAGAGCTCAGCCAAACATGAATGCTCAAAAATATCGTCCAGAGATAAATAAAATAATACCCCACGAGACTCTTCTCATACGGTGTTTCTCACATTATATCACTCGATCGCATGGTCTAATGCTCACCCGTTGCCTTGTTCCAGATGGGGTGTGGATGCCGTCCCATCCCCAAATGATTGCTCTGTTTGTGTCGCCTTGTCTCTAGGCTTTGGGGCGTGTAGTAAGATTCCGGCAATAACCCTTGTGAACATCCTGAACACTGATTTAGTCAGACTTGGGATCATCTTGTCTGAAGGGGAGCACCTGACAACCCACCCTCATCAACCTCCCGCCCGAGAATTCCTGCAACCCTATTAAAGTTCATTCCGTCCTGCATTGCTTCTGCTAAAACGCCTCTATCTCTCACGCTCCACTCTCGGTCGCTTTCGCGCTCCATAACCATGCGGTTTACTTTCTTCCGGGGTTCTATAGAATCGAGAAATTTGCGCTTTAGGGGTTGGGATGGGAGAGCTCTCGAGCGGATTATCGTTACTTCGTCTTCAGAAGAGGATAAACAGGGGCTGCCCGATGATGACGAGGAAAGGAGAGAGATGAAGCAAGAGGGAGAGGGAGGTTTCTCTTTGTTCTTGCACTGCGTTAGTTTAACCGTGGACTATCTCTGGAAGGAGGAGCTCCTACTTTGCGCGTCGAAGTAGAAGGGGTAGGAAGATGCGTATTGGAATTCGCTTTTGGTGTGGAATGACGAGAATCATTCGGGACTGGAGCAGGGTCCCAAAATTCGTCTTCCGAAGACGGCGTTGAAGGAGTGGGTGGCGCCGAGGATAGCTCTTCAGAACCACTATCCCCCCCTCCTTCGTCCTCCAGGTAATCCGACTCCCCGTGATCGCTGGGTTCGCTTGTGACATAGCTTCCGCCGCTGCTATGTGTTACCGAGAGCGGGGAAGAAGTGTGGAGCGGAGTTGGTGAATATTCTTCATACGGCGGCACTGGGGCCTCTAAGTCTTCGGTGTAAGCCTTCAGGGTATCCATGAAACTGGCTCCTTCCAGATTTTCCTCAGCATCAGAGAACCCTTCAATTCCCTCGCCCATCGTATGACGGTTTGTTGGGTGATAGGTGTTGAATTCTCATGACGATGGCGGTGGGGATGAAAAGGTATAAGTCGGTTTTGAAAAGCAAACTTGAGAGTCCGGCGCGTATGCACAGACATTGACGTTGTCAAAGGATTCGGGAGAGTAGCATCGCAATATTTGTACTGTACTGTACCGTATACAAGTATCGCCGCCATCCAACAACCAACCGACGCAGCTAGAAAAGATCGGCAAAGATATTCAGTTCCGCTTTGTGTGTAAGTACAAGCTCGGGTACAAAGCACGAGTGATGATAGATGAATCTAAATGACAAGCTAGATCAGATTGACATCAAACCGTCCCATGCTCCGCCGAAAAAGCACTATCGAAACTTTCCTTATCCATTGCAAACTCCCTAATATAATCTATCTCCAATTCATGCACCCTCTTTCCTAACAAAACAAGGGAATGCAGTGGGGCACCAAGGTCCGAAGTAGACAACTCCTTCAAAGTCCCCGAAACAAACTGCTGGCTCTCACTCCCAAGCCTGGAAACTCCAATAGCAATGCTGTTCTCAGAATAGGCCCCATCCCCCTTTTCGTTTTCAATTTCTAGCATCTGTTGGGCACACTCTGCCACGGACATGTACCGCGGTTTCTCGTACACTTTTCTCCCACGGATCAGATTTTCCAGGCTTTGTTCCTTGACTTTGATATCCAACAGGAGGAGTGTATGCAGCCCAATCTCCCTGTTCTCCCGAACTCGATCATAAAAGCTGGCGGGCCGCCAAGTATCCGTGAAGAACACCATACTTACCGTTTGGCCAAAGTTGTAAAGTTGAAGCCCGCATGCCCCTATGGCATTCATGATACTGGCGTTGTGGATTGTGCGGTGGGGGATTTTGAGTGCTCGGGCACGGAGGAGGAGGTCTGTGTGTGTGGTCGCCCCAAAGGGGTCGCCAACAACGAGAAAAGCTACATCATCTGTTTCGGCACCTGAGAGAATTGTGTCACTAGAGGATTCAACAAGCTCCCTGTCGGCAAGGATTATGGAACGCCCGTAGAACTCTTCCTAAGAGCGCTGGTGGTTAGCTAAGGGGGAGAAGGAAAGGGGGAAGGGCTTACTAGTTTGTCTTTCTCGATCATGAGGATGCTAGTGTAGGCCTCCAGGTAGACACGGGAGGCCTTTCGGACGACCTCTAAGCCAGCGACAGTTATGTCCTTCTCGTTGGAAAGACCTAGTCCTATCAGGTAGAGCATTTTGGAGGGATTGATGGAGGTTTGTGTGAAGGAGGGGCGATGGTGGGGTTGGAAACAAATTTTGAATGCGGCTCATTCGGCGCAGTTATTTTAGGCTTAGTGTCGGTATCATACCTCTGTCATGTGGTATCGTATGATACCGGTTTGGGATCCGAATTGACCGAACCTCGGATACCGGTATATAGAACACGAACAAGACCCACCAAGGTACCGTAAGAAGTTATGGAACAGTTATTCGAGGTTAACCGTCCAAATATACCCTTGTCTGTCCCGTCTAATTGGTTACTACTCTTGGACTTGTATTACCTCTTGGACTGCTGAAACGGCGGAAAATTTTATGCCACCCCTTTCAGTGTCTAAGACATACTTAATAATATAAAAAGGTGTCAGACAATATCAAAAGCAACTGAGCAAACATGAAGAGAAAAAATATCAAGCAAAGGAAAGCAATAGTGATACTAGATAAAGTAAATCGGGAAAATAAAATAAAAATAATAAAAAAGTAGAAAACAGCATTAGGAGGTAGTGAGACGTGAAGCGATCTATCATGCATGATATTTGTTCAAGCAA